GGTTGAGACATGAACAGTTTGCACGTTATTTATCGTTCATTGTGGTCATCCGTGTGTGTGTGTGTGTGATAAGTATTCACTTATGTAGCCACCGCTTGGGTCTTAATTGATGCGGTACTGGCCTGACACTTCGCGCTCGACTCACACACACGCGGATGACCACTATGGACTATAAATACAATGCAACCTGTGCATGTCTCAACCCTATCTGCGCATGACCATGACTGTGTTACCATCACCTATGATTAAGGATTCCTGACGGAATCCGAAACGTCAGGCAAATAAAACTCTTGTTCCAGTGATCGCATCCTCTTGTTCTGTTCTTATTTATCATACGAGGTTCGTTTAATTATGGTCAAGATACGTGTTCCGAAACGTCAGGAAAATAAAGTCCTTGTTCCAGTGATCGCATCTTCTTCTGAACTTCCATACTTGTGCACAATCAGCATACGCATTCCGTCGCAAGACTGCTCCCTATTTGACCTCGAAGCCCTGACTTACCGATTCAAATAACTTGGTTTAGTTTAACTGATCACCACGTACGCTGTCTTATAGCCTGATACACATGGCTCGCTTATCGTGTCCATTCAATTGCGGTACTTTGATTGATCCTCCTTAAAAAGTTCAGACCTAATTCATTCCCGAAGTATGGATGGATTCTGAAATTAGACAGCCCGATCATCGCTTACAATGATATCCACCGTATGCCCCAAAGCAAGGTGGGCGTAGGGCATACGGGGATTAATTTATGGTGGCGGTAGATTTATGATATGTCTGTCGAACTCTACCTTCCTGTCATAACAAAGTCAAGAAGATCTTAGGCGAGACTGGGTGCAGGTAGCTGGCGCTGCGTGAGCCTGCGTCTAGACATGCCACCGCACCTTCCCAATGTGTGACATTTTTTATGGGTGCGCAGCTATGCCGTGCTCTGAGTTAGCCGCTATGTTGGTCCAGCGCGTCTTTCGCGTAGCTCATTGTAGTGTCAGTCCTAAATCTACTGGAAGAGACTGTAAGCGCATGACAATTTACGCGACTGTCTACCGCCTTCTATAATCTAGCGCCGTTGTCTTCGTTGACTAACCGTTGCCGGAAATCTGCTGTTAACCACTTGTCTTTTCGTACCATGTAACAGTGGTTCTACCTTCATAACCGACTATCCAGTGTCTCCATTTACTCTCCTGTCATACCTCGATCAACTGAAAAAGCAGTTGAGAAGAGAGGCTTTGCAATCAAACCACCCAGCCATCTCGAAGACTGTGTATTTATTTGCTCCTTAATGTGGAACACAGACGTACGTTGAGCGGACAACACAGATACTTGCCTGGTCATTGCCCCGACTAACTGCTTGGTGGGTCCTTGATTTACATTCACATGTATATAAACAAGCCAGTTGAATTGCAGAGTATGGCGCTTGCCTGCTACGATCTGAAATGCTCCTAAATAGATAGAAAGCACATGTAGGTAGTTTTGCAGTTAGGGATAAGAAGTGGATCTTTTGCCGAAGTTGATTTCATTCAAGTCGAGTGTCCACACAAAGACTAGGACCTGATCGGAAATGCCGCGTTAATGGAGTAATGAATTTCCAAGATTCACTTTTCGTTAGATACAGTCGATTACCTATTTCATGAGATGTCGATCGAAAGTCTGAATCGTATATTCGACCCAAAAAAGTGCTTGAGGAAGGTTGCGTTATTAATTATCGTGCAGCTTAGCTCCAAGATATTTCAATAGCGTCAGAATGCCGCATTTAAACGGGCTTCTTTCCAATCGCCTACAACACCGAAACTTTGTAAAAAATGCTACTTATGTAACATCTTGTTTATATTTTCGCTGCTCTTACAAATTCGAATATATAGACCATATGCACGAAAATATCCTTTATTGTACTCATTTGGCAGGAACTTTTGTCTTGTTAACTTCTGTACATAACGGGAGGGTAGATTTCGGTCTTTAAACAGTTCATAATTGCGATATTTTTATGACCGTGAAATTTCCACTTATAAAACTTCGTATTTGTCCACTTGTTTGTGTTACTTATAAAGTATGCATGATGATCCACATCCACTGTAAATTTGGGATTACTGTCGGATGTCTTTCTAATAGATCAAAGGAATACGTGAATTGATTTAGACCTAATGTATAAAGCATATATTTCAGAAATTTGAAGCATAATGTTCCCGGAGAAAACTTGAAGATGGAAACTATTGCAAAATTAAATGGAACCATAAATTTAATGAGAGCTCTTCAGTTACATCCATTCATTGCGTTGAAGGATCACGAATGAGAAAAAAATACGAAATTGAATTTGTACAGAAAGGTCATAAGTCCAATTCCTTGTGTTAAGGATGCCTTACCTTTGCACGCCACCTCTAACTGCG